ACTGAGAAAACACAAAATGTGCCCAGCACATTTTAGAATCTTGTGGTCTACTTTTGTCGAACGGCATTTTTTTTTTAATTTTTTATTTATTTTTAAATTATGCTTGTGTGAACTTTCTTGTTTCTAAAAAAATATTCTGAGCTGCCTCCGAAATACATTTTTCTACGGGTGTAGTACTTACACATTTTGAACACTACAGGTTTTTCCGTAATATTAAGGAGGGTTCTTAGTTAATTTAAAAATCATAGCGATATGTTTATATCCAAGAAAAAATTATAGACTTCAAATAACCAGGACACTATTCGTGGTGGCAATACATCAAAACGTTTATTTCACGGAGGAATTTGCCGTTTGCATGTCGTCATCTTGCAATTTTGGCACAAGAAAAGCGGTATATAAAAGAATAGAGGAGTAGCATGGCAAACTGTTAAAAGCATAACGTTTTGGCGTTGTGGCCATATTTATGTATGAAATATACGGGCTTCTATGGGAGCGCTGCCGTAACCCGCCAAGAGATGGCGTAAGCATACGATGGCACAAATTCTTGGGGATGAAACGCGGTGGTGCGCTAAAGTTAGCACTCGTGCAATAGCTGCGCAAGGCGGCCGGAGCGTAAACGCGGATGATAATTTTAACATCCCCGTCCATCATGCCAAATCATAAAAAAAATAATAATAACGCATACCGAGTAAAGTAGGGGTGGTTCGGCCGTTGCGACGTATTTCTTTCATCTTTCGAAATCTGGGTACCCGCGCTGTGCCAGAGAGTGTTTTGAATCTGCCGCTATGAAATATCCTATAAAATGAAACATTTTTGAGAAAGCTTGTCTGGAGGTGGACAGGGTTCTACTGTTCTCAGGCATTTCTTTTATCATTCCAAATTCGGGCACACGCTCGTCATTCAGGAACCTTTTGAGATCAAACGAATTCTTACCTATTGACCAATCACCAACTTTATGGCCCTCAACAACATGCTCCTGCTATGGCAACTTCTCTAAAATGAGTCTTCTTTGAGAAAACGCGTCTTGGCTTGGACATGGTTTGACTGTTTTTAGGCATTTGTCTATCATTTCAAATTTGGGCACCCACGCCTTGTCCAGGGGAGTTTTGAGATTGACCCAATTCTTATCTGGCGAATAAATATCAAACTTAATCCCACCAACTACAAGCCGGTGCTATTCCTGAATATTGGGCTTCAGCCCTCTTCGAGGAATGTGATATCAAGTCGGATATTCCAATGCGCTCGTCTCTTGACTTTCTTCTCTGTTTGTGTAAAAGACGAAAGGGATAATTAATTTAATGAAAACATTTTGATCGCGCCTAAATATTTTTTGTTTACGTAGGCATGTTAAGTTTAAAAGAACAATCATACTCTCATAAATCGCTTGTTCACGGCAGTTATCCCAATCCTTACAATAAAATGCAGTTTGTTGTAATCAAATTATATTCATAACTCGCGAGAATGGTTTTTAATGCGTTTAAATTGTTGTATGTCGTAATATAAAACCGCTGGTTTTGTTTGCTAGTTTAGCGATGTCAGTAGCAGAATGCTGGAAATGATCTTAAAAGTCTAAACGAAAGCTCATGAGTCTTATTTTACGAATTGGTATCAGGATCACAAGAAAAACAAATTTTTACGAAAAAAGTAAATTGTACACATTATATTATAAATTGTTCTGTTTTGTTGCAGTTAAATGGCAAATATTTTACTTTTTAGTATTTTTAAATTGTGCGGGTTCAACCTTCGCTGTTTCTTCAAAATTTGTGTGAGGTGCTTCGGAAATGTATCTTTCTGGACACACAAAGCACGTCTTAGACACTAAACAAATTTCCGTATTAATGCGGAGGTATACTCTATAATTTATGCAATCATAATGAGCTCTTTTAGGACAAAGAACAAACTTTGCACTTTAATTAACTTCGAGACTATTCGTAGTGGCTATATGTCAAAAAGTTTATTCGATGGAAGAACATGCACTTTATACGTCATCATCTTGAAATGTTGGCACAGGAATAGTGGTACACGATAGAATGAAGTAGTATCATGGCAAATTGTTCAAAGTGTAACGTTTTGACGTAATGGCCATATTTTATCTTAAGTAAATGGTCTCCCATGAGAGCGGTGCGGGAACCCACTAAGAGATGTCGCTAGCACAAGATCGCACATATTTTTGGGGATGTAAGTTCTACAGAAGAAAGAAATGTTGCGGAATGTCACCTTAATAACTATATTTAAGACCTTTTCCGCTTGATAATTTCTACTCTAAATCTTAAAAAAATGGTTTTCATGCATTGAATACAAGGGCGCAAACAGGCGGGTGAATATTTGGCATGACAAAGAAAACCTGAGACCGCGGGAGACCCCGAAACTATCCAGTGTATGAACCATTTTTAGCCGGAGTCCCGGTTTTTTTTATGCTTAATATTCAAAAGTTTGCTTGCGCCCTTACATGAAGTTTATTAATCCTACAAAATGTAAACCTCGCCCTCGTTCACCATTCGTCATTCACCTATATTAGTGTGTGCGCATCGTTCCTACCCACAGACTCGGGATTTTGTCAGTGTCTTAATGTAGATTTTTCTGCACCATCATTTATGTAATAAATATTGAAAAAATCGTTGGAAGATTTTTGATCAAATCAAATCAATATTGCTATTTCTCTAAATGTTTACACTCCTTTATTTTTGACTAACAATCTTTGGTGACCAAAGCAAACATAACAGTCAAATATCGAACGCTTTGGGTGTCCCGACGAAAAATGCAACCTGCAGATTCGAGGTAAAACAAGTTGTTTTAAAAAGAGTACAAACATCGAAAGAAAAAAAAAAGTTTTTTTAGGTATGTGTGGTGCAAATCCTAAAATTACCACTCAAAGACACATATTCGTGCGAATTTAGAAAACTAGCCATCATCGTAGATTACATGATCTTTTATTGTGGCAAAAGGCCCCCAAAATATTGGAAGGAAATGACTCGGTTTCAAAGATTGATAGAATTAAAGAGAACCGGGAAGAACAATAGTATCTAGCCTAACTACAAAAATGAATCACATACTAAATCATGTTTTTTTTTTCAGACTTTCTGGACTCTATATTCTTTAAACAGAAAGCGCTCAAACACAGATCTTTCAAACATGAGAATTGCCAGAAAACGAGTAGAACGCGTGAACTGAGAAAACAGACTCCAATTTTGTTTAATTTCGTTTCAAGCGCACTGCCCCTGTCCTTTTAGAATATGGTACACCTGGAAGCAGTATGGCGTGACTCTAGGTATTTGGTGGAGTGATGCGAATTCTCATGCATGCATTTTAGGTGTGTAGCGACTGGGTTTTACAAAATTCAAGCTCACACATCCAAGCTGGACATATTCCAAATTTGTCTTGTAATACCACCCATCTAATTAATCATGTATCTACCCCATCTCGGTAATCTAACCTACATCACTTCAACGTTTTACCTCTGAGATAACATCAATATTTTACACGGCTGGTACACCGGGGGTCTAACCTGAACGTAGCGCATCGATTTGCCTCTTTCTCGGCATAGGCATTTAATCGGAGACTGCTAACCACTCAGTGCATCAAAATTAAAAACAAAACAAATGGATGGGTGAAGGCATTGGGAATGCGCCAGCGAGCTGGGCATTCCGAGACATAAATAAAACTTGGGTCTAAAGAAGGAGATAGAAGGCGCATAGAAATAAGAGGATAAACAAACACCCTCGATGTTTGTGTGCGTAGCTATTTCTTTCTTTTAGGCGTCTTCTTTCTTTTTTCTGTTGAGTGTCAGGTCTTAATTTCTATTTAAAATGAAACAGTTTGTTCAGGAGTTCCGTGACTAAAATGATGTGCACTCTACGTGTGTTATCTAGATGACGCTGGCGGTTGCTCAGACCATACTACTGTGCACATTCCATAGTCGATGCCCCCGAAGAAAAACAAAAAGCCTCCCCTAAGGGAGTGATGACGTGAACAGTTTAAAGTAACTTTATGTTTCTTCTTAAGTATGCATCGGATACTTATTATACACTAGAAGCTAAACAAAAACTAGTGTAAATTGTTTAGTGAAAAAATGTTTTTGCAATTGCCTGTGAGACACAAGTGAGAGAAGATTGTCCCATTAATAAAAATGTTCCATTGACATTTTTTATTTATTTCCATATAATGCCGCTTACTTGTCTACATCCGATGCACGTGTTGGTGCTGCGATATTTTGTAAAGAAAACGAAAGAAGAATATAAATTTGTGTTTACGTCTCAGACGTCCTTGAAAATTGGGTGGCTATGCTGAGACGAAATTTAATCCATTTTTTAGTATATGTATATGCCTGAAACTGCCGCATTGTTAGCAATAAATATATAGGAGATGCATGTTCAAGTAGCACGCCAGAGGCTCTTAACCTGGCACAAGCTTGACAATGAGGCCTACCTTGGCCCTAATACGGTTTTTCTCTAATACGTTATCTTGTGGCACAGAACTTTTCCTTGGCATTTCGAGACATTCTCTATAGCTCACGAATGAATTGCCAGTCAGACCCAAGCCAAACATACCACGCAAGAACCGAAGATGTAGCAGTGAATACTAAACCTGACACATATCCTACAATTTCGACCAAAAATTACCCCACAGAAAGCGAACAGCCAGAAGTGAATCCGATCTCTGGCACTTTTCAGCGATTTAGGCCCGAAGATGCCGGATAACAGCCGATCTAGCGTCAGTGAAACCTAACTTCGTTACTTATTTCACGAATTAGGGTCAAAAACCCAGACTCTGGTAAAAAGATGTCAAGTCTGCTTTTTGTTTGACTTTCTTTGGATCTGTTTAAGCTCCAGATGCCCCGACAAAACAAAATTGCGCCTAAACAACTATGGTACCTGGGTAGTAACATATACCGGCTCTAGCGCCAATGTGACGTTAGATTTTGCACTCTGGGTGCTATGACAACATTGATCTGCCACATACTAATTCTTCTCCAACTAATCTGATTTTCTGCGCCACTACAGGAAGTGGTTCAAGTCGACGCTTGTGCTGGTCCCTTTGTTCGGCGCCCACTACGCCTTCCTTTTGGGAATGTCCTTGGCGGCAGCAGGCGACCTGCTTGAGCTGGTGTGGCTCTACATCGATCAGCTGTTCTCTTCATTCCAGGTGACCTGTTTCTAACGGTGCAGTAGTTTTCCTAACGCATGCAAAGTGTCACCGCCGGTAACATGTTACCTTTAAAAATAACGAAGACAAAATTGCGCGCATATTTTTTTTTTTAAACTAGTGCGTTGTTTTCTAGTTTTTTGAACCAATGGCACAACGCGTTCCATGTTTGTGTTTCACTTCCGTCCCCGTTATTATTACCTCTTCGCTATTTTCTCAAGTGGCTACAGCTTAGGGAGGTCAACTACGGTCAAAAATTGAACCAAAATAAATTACAGATATCGCTTTAGTAGCACAAAATATAATCCCAGCCGCAATATTACGTTAAAGGGAAGCCATGCTCTTCAGTAAAACCAGTATTAAGACGCGACCAGTTGCTTTTTTTGCGGGAGGTGAGCTGTTTAGCTGGTAGTCGATCAACACTGGGATTTACATGCAGTTGGTGCTTTGACTCTTTCTCATATGTTTTTACCTCGTTTTGTAAAGTAGTGATTAAAGCTGTTTCCCGCGTTTTCTTATTTTTTGTAAGCTACGCCCAGTGTTTAAGAAAACACAGGGCTGATCATATTCAACTGTGTGTTTTTTTGTTCTAGTTTGTTCTCTAGCATTCCTATAAATGGGTGCCGCTATCTCCCTTGCGGCTCCGCGAAAATAAGATTCTCCGGACACACTAATCTTTGCGTTTTCTAGCTCTCAGTGTTTATATAAGGTGCCTGGAATGCCGAGGCTCGATCTAAAACGGGCAGCAAAAATTGCCGCCTGTACTTAAAAATCCTAACCTTTTGTCACAGGTGTATTTCGCAGGTGAGATTTAGCTTGCAAAGTTACGAGGTGTAGCTCCCTTTCTGTAAAGAATAGTGTAAAATAACTTGCCAAGGTCAACGGCGGAGGGCGATGCGAAAGACCGAGTCCAGGGGTGGGGTTCGATTGACGCACCTATTGATCGATGGGGTCAGGAGCAGCGTCGGAAGGTAAAATCGACTAGCGAAAGAAAGCAGAACAAGCAGAAGAAATACAGCGGCAGCAAGATCAAAGTCGTTATTTAAAGACGTTTTATTTTATTTTTGCTAATTCAAGTTTTGCTATCATTGTCCGCATTTATATTTAAACCAAAGGTACATTAATAAACGATTATTTTCACTTTAATAGACAACGATCGATGGTCGTGGGCTGTCTCGATATTATTTTTTTCAAAGCAAGTCGGAACTAGGTTTTTCATAGGGATCCGAAGATCCGCATCTGGTTTTCACGGGCCACCACGCCACTATGCGCCGAGATCAATCACGTGAAGAGCAAAGGATCCCGCGCCGTGCAGGAAAGTCGCTCCGCCGACATTGCACACGTCCCGGGGCATGTTCCCCTGCTTTCGCCTCCTGCTCCTTTCTTGTTTTCCGTGCGCGGCGCCGCGCGCACCGCCGCTATTCGCCAAATTCAGACGCGTGACCGGTTGCAATCGACTGAGCACGGCTCCTACGTGCGCGAGGAGTGGCTTTCCCGCATAATTTAAGATTTCTAGGTGGCTGAACGCGGAACTCTGGCTCCTGTAGAGAGCCTATAAAGAAACTCTAGTCGGAACAAGAAAGTACCGCCATCTATCGATACCTGCGTGAAACACGCCCTGCCAGTCGGCCCGGTCGTTTGCTGCTCAGTCTTCCGTTCACCCTGGCAAGTTTTTTGGCCCTATCCTTTACAGAAAGGAAGTTACGCCTTCTAATTTACCCAGTAAAACCCATCTGTTATATACAGTTTTGAGGAGAAGTTTAGAATACTACGTGCAGGCGCCGATTTTTACGGCCAATTCTAGATTGAGCCTCGGCATTTCATACACCCTATATAATCATGAACACTTCAAGGAACGTGGACCACTGACTATTATCTTCAGGTTCCTTGTTCCGTGTTACGTCTTCTGGCGTTCTTACCAGCTAATGCCTGAATTTCCCTCTTGAAAATTAAGCAGTCTAATCTCTACGTTTTATATCGCCTGGCTTTCTCATTATTAACGCATCTGTCTGTGTTTGTGCAAACTCGATTCAACGAGAATATATCTCTGCGGCACTTAGCTTTCAAAAGGTGAAGTCGTGCGACGAAATTCAAACGCTATTTGGGTCATTTTTCATGCTTCTTCTTTAAAAGGAAGCTTAGCCGCTTTTCAATTTGCCTGAGTTTAAAGCTGACTGCAGTTCCTACAGTTTTGTATCGTCAATTTCATTAGGGTACTTAAATGGGACTGAACTAAGCGTAAACTGCTTTTATATATAAAAAAAAAAAACAAGTAGGGATTGTTACAAAGCATGCGGTGAACCTCACTGTTACATATTATCTGTCAATGGTCATCTAAGCACGTCGATGACGGCACTTTCGCTGGTTTCAGCTTCCGATCTGCCGCTGTTCTGCTTTTGACCTGCCGCATGTGCCGAGACTACTGCCAAATATCTATTTGCACTACTACGTCGCTTCTACTAACAAAATAGAAATAAAGCTTTAGACACTTAATTTTTACGGTGACCACATTCAAACTTTTACAATATTTCCAAATTCAAAAACTTTCACACCTTCCCTTTAAAGCAATACTCCACAAAAACGAGGATGAAGCAAACTACCAGAATAAGACGTCGATATTGTTTGCGTCTGGTCTGTCTCACCCTCGTTTTCTGGTGGGCTTGTTTGCTTCTTCCTCGTTTTTTGGCGCAAACTTTACAGAGGAGGAAGTATTCAGCCAAAAAAGCATGGTTAGATTACCAATTATTTTGAAAACTGAACATAGGTAACATAATTAAATTCAAAATAACTTCAGATCATAGGTAATCCTATTTGAATAAAGGTTAATGTATAAAGAAATTAGATTAGCCTTATTTACTTTTGAATATGTCAGGCCGACATTGATCCACCCTCAATTTTTTTTAAGTTGACGTCCAGGACAGTAACCTTCCATGAAAGCACGTTGGCTGTGATGTCTCCTGCTAAACTCAATTACTAAGTATTTGGGTCTTCAAATGACGTAGCCTGTTATAAACGGGATCTCCTTTTCTCAACACAATATTGCAAAACAAAAATTGAGAAACACCCCAAAAGCATTCGGTCAGATCCGACTGAAATCTTGATCTATTTCTCCCAAAAGCACAAGGTAAATCCACACTCCCTTTCGAGAAGGATTCTTCGGAAACACCAATATAGCGTAAGCTATCACCTTTTATTTGTGAGGTGCCCTGATGTTGTTGAGGCAGAAACGCCCCGTCATGAGAAAGGAAATGGTATCTGTCGAAGTGAAAGTAATCCTAGCGTATCAAGACCCAAAGTAAATATAATCCTTAATTTTTTTTTCGGCTTAAAGTTTTTAGAGGAGAGACCTATCTCAAGTGAGAAAAAGCATAGGAAAGAACAATAAAGTGTCCTGTGTGCTCCAGCGCTGCAGTGTAGAGGGAAACGTTCTTAGACTGTTGACGACAACATGAAGACATGGTGTCAGCAACTGAATCGTCGCCATTTTTGTTTTGTTTGTTAACGTGTTTTTTTTTAGATGTCTGCGCACGAAAGCTAACGGGTTATCTTCACATTTTCGTTAGTATTTTACCTCTGTTTGTACACTTTTGTTACAACCATACATCAGGCTTTCCTCCTGTGGGACCTCGTTGGTGAGCTATTTCATTTTAACTCAAACTCTTACTTTAGGCAACATTTTGCAATAAAAATAATTTTCAACTGGTTTTCTTTAAACTTTTAAGAGGAGATACGGCTATATTAAATATTGAGTGAAAGTTACTATAGAAGCTTTCAATAATGTGCTTAGATGGTCCAGTTGGTACATTGCAAAGGGTATAAAGCGCCGAGAAAACACGGACCGAGGCACGAAGAAAGCAACGATACAGGGAGCACTCTTAACTGAAGTTTATTTGTAAAAGTACTTAATATTATTGCTAACGGGAAAGCACAGTCATCAATCAATCCCTGCCCAGCTCACGTTTTAAATACTAACACTCCTCCGTAAACAGGGCCTAGAGGTTTCGCTAATGCACTTGTTTCCCCTAGCCCTAATCTCAAGATCCTCTTGTACCGGGTGATTCAAGGATACGGCAGGCTCTTTACATCGACCGAAAATTCGGTTTCCTAACCTATCGCGCTGGGACTTTGTGCAGCGTTGCCCACAGATGGTGCATTTTTTTTTTTTTTGTAAAATTTGCGAAGAGCGAACTTACCTGAGGAAAAAGTAAAGAAAGAAAAAGGCTTCGCTCCTATGGAAACGCAGCGACGCCACGGGTCTTCAAACAACACGGCGCCGTTTCGCACGGGACTCAAGAGATGGCGCAACGAACGCCGCCAACGAACGAGCATACGGCGCCGAGAGCCATCTTTAGCAGACAATCTTTTCGACACAAAACCGGAGCGCGTTCCGCGGGCGGCGACAGTCGAAGAAAGAAAAACAGGCGCGGTAACAACAAGGAACTGCAGTTCCTCGTCTGCTAAATACGCCGGCTCTCGGCGTCGTCTGCTCATTCGTTGGCGGCAGTTGGCGTCGCGACCGCTTGCGCCATCTCTTGTCTCCCATGCGAAACGGCGCCGTGTTGTTTGAAGACCGGAGGCGTCGCTGCGTTTTCATAGGAGCTAAGCCTTTTTCTTTCTTTACTTTTTCCTCAGGTAAGTTCGCTCTTTGCAAATTTTACGAAAAAAAAATGCACCATCTCTGGGCAACGCTGCACAAAGTCGTAGCGCGATAGGTTAAGAAACCGAATTTTCCGGTAGATTTAAAGAGCCTGCCGTCTCCTTGAATCCCCCGGTAGTTCGCATGACGCCTTGTTTTTGTATTTCGCCAATACTTGCATTTTGTTGAATGAAGGGGCGCAAGAGCATTAACTGCATTGAACGGCGAGATGCCCTGACGGTGTGGTCCTAAAGGGAGCTGCGTGTTCGCGGGCCTGATCAACACATTTGCATTTGCCTGTCTGCCCTTCGTAGCTTAACCCACACGTCATCGGAATCTCATACGCGACGCCAGTCGTGCAATTTATGTACTTCTTCCTACGCGTAGTGTCGCACGGGTCTGTGATCGGCTGGGGATTATTGATTCAGTCCCGACATCCTTCTTTACCTAATTTGAAATAGTTTATTACATTACTTATTTTTTAAAAAAAGGTATGGTCGTCTTAATTGTACTCAAGTAATATTGGGATCTCTGTTTTGAGACCCAAAAGTGACATTTGTTTTGTCTTTCTGCATTCGCAGGGGTTTCTGGTGGCGACGCTCTACTGCTTCCTGAACGCCGAAGTGAGCTACTTCACAACCCTCTGTTTTTAAGCTTTCAAAAGCAGACTATGCAACTATATTAATTTCGTGTGCGGCTTTATCTTCGAGTTATAAAATAAGTTTCGTTAATTGTCTGCTCAAGGTTAACCCGGTATCACTTCATTGTTGTTTGGAAGAACTGTTAGCACGAGAAACGTCTTCTCAATAACTAAGCTATCTTCTGGAATAATGATCAGGATTCGCCACGGTCATGGTCATGTAGATCTACTGATAGGAGCAGCACACTCTGAAACAAAAGCCAGTAGTATTTACTAGGTAAAAAGTGAAAGCCGTTTACAACTCCCTGTAACGCCGAATTGGAGCGCAGCTCTTGAGGAGGAGGAGGGGAGGGTACTGGGGGAGGGTAGACCCGTCCTCCTCCTCCTCCTCCTCCTTCTCCCCTCATTCTTGAATATGCTCCGGGGGGGGTCACGTGACTTGGGGAGTCACGTGACCTTGGGGTCACGTGACCTCTGGGGGTCGCGTGACCTTGGGGGGTTATGTGACCTCTGAGGTCACGTGGCCTTGGGGTGATCTTGGGGGAGTCACGTGACCTTGCGGTTAAGCCGACGGCGACGCCAACGCCGCTCAAGCCGGAAACGGGCGCCTAAGAGCTGCGCTCTAAAAGCAGTAACTGCTGGTCGCACATGTTACTAGGTGCCTACCCAAGCAGTTCAAATTTAGCCAGTCATTGGCCAATGGCTGAAAATGTTGCTTTGACTAGTGACCAGACAGTGGCCAGTCATTGGCTGATGACTGGCCTTTCTTTGGACAATGGCCAATGACCACTAGCCATCAGCCATCGGCCAAGCATTGGCCAATGACTGGCCACTTTCTGGCCATTGGCCAACAGAACAGATCGCCAGCCATCGGTCAATGATTGGCCGAATTCCGTGCTGTTTGTGTAATAACTGTATATAGCAAAGGTCAAGCTACTAACGGTTGGCAGGTCAAGAAACTATTAACGGTTATTAACCAACCTGGTATCTCACACTCCCTTTAGCTAATAACCTGCACTAACTCGCACAAGACCCAGATGGTGCTAGTCAACGTCAAATTAAAAATTGACAAACAATAGTATTATCGCTGGGATAGACGTTTTCCACGCTGTTTACATGCAGATTTGCACAGGCATTATACATTTAACACATACAAGAAATTCGAGCACATATGACACTCTCACAACACACACACGGCGACAGGGTAACCCAATCGCTGTTCCCAATGGATATCCATGCGTCTTTTATACTGATCATTTGAAGAAAGTCGGTTGCTCAGTGGCGACCTCGTCCGTGAACGATGTTAACAGTTTTATGCTGCTTTAGACCCAATATTGTTCTCCAGTATTGTTGCTAACTATTCCAAGGGATGTAAATCTTACTAATAAGTAACGGTACACAGAGTGTTTTTTCGCGACAGCCTATAAAACAGCGTTCCCTTAGATCCCAGCAGCCATGTACTCGCTTCCCCGCATAGCAGCTGCAGTTACTACCTGTCGCGCGTTTGAGGCAGTAAATAGATATTAAAAAGGTAGTAACGGTCAGAAAGAAGGAAGTGACAGCTGCATTCACAAACTTTTTACTTTCTGTCGCACATTTGAGGTAGTATATTGTTTGTCAAATGTTGTAATGGTCAGGAATAAATATTAAGTATAATGAATAAATGAAAAGCTTTGACAATACTCTGTGACGCGGAATTAGAGCGCAGCTCTTGAGGAGGAGGAGGGAAGGGTACGGAGGGGGGGGGGGTGAGGGTGTCGAGGGGAATTCACCGGAAATTGTGGGTCAATTTCCCGCTAAATCCTCCCGCGAAATTCAGCGGAAAATCTTACTCGCTAAATTTGGTGAAAAAAATTCTCCTACTACGTTTAGCGGGAAAATTTCCCCGGTAAATTTGGCGGAAACTTTTTTCCGTCAAGTTTATTGAAAAAACTTGGGGCATAAATTTTTACGCTAAGTCTAACATCAAAAATTGCACGTAAACTTTGCAAAAAAATTTCTCCGCTGGGAAAAAATGTGCGGAGATATATCCCCGCTAAATTTAGCGGAAAAATTGCTCGCTAAATGCTGCGGGAAAACTTCCCCGCTAAGTTTAGCGTAAACATTTCCCGCCAAATGTAAGTGCAGTGTGACGTCACGAGGGTGACGTCACACGTGACGTCACGGGTGACGTCATTACGGGAAACGTTCTATAACGCAACGCGCGGTTACGCGGACGGCGACGCCGCTCAAGCCGGAAACAGGCCCCTAAGAGCTGCGCTGTACAAGTTTGTAATGTCTGAACTTACTGCCTTTTTTGTTGTGTTTAGCTAAGAGAGCAAGCACTTGGCCTTCTAGACTGTAAAAGCAAATCTTCGAAACTGGAGAGGATCACTCATTTTATGGTTTCGGCATTGAATATTGGTTTCTGTTCAAGCAAGGCGTAATGCATGTTGCAAAACACGAGGAGTGCGATTAACGACGAGCAAATAATGGAGGCTGGAAAGGCGCTAACCATCCAGCGACAATTTAAGGGAACGGAAAACAAAAGTGAAGCATTTTATGAACCAAACTAAAAGTAAAAGAACTGGTGATCTAATTTTTCAAAATAAACAATTCAGTTCAAAAATACGCCACCTCCTGTCCTGATCTTCCTTCGTATTTTTCGTGTTTCTTGGCGCATTATCCGGTAATGCTACCCTAACTCGAGCACAAGAATCGTTTGGTGCAAACGCATGTTATGTTCAGTGTAAGCATGGTTCTAAATCCGATCAAGTAATAGTCTAGCACTGTCTGTCAATACATGACTTTTATATACACGAACAATATTTCCAGTTCAGCTCCAGCAAGTGTAAAAAATACTGCTTGCGCTTCGTTATTTACGATGCAATAAGAGTACGCTGTTTCCAAGGCGGATGTCTCATTATTCAGTTGTCCATTCCAGGTAGGTGCCGAAGCACGTGCCGCCATGGCGAGGCATCGCCGGACGTGCTGCTCAGACGGACTTCCGCTGCGGATGAACAAGGCGCAGGGAAGTGGTCGCAACGAGCCCAGGGTACGACTGTCGCTGCTCACGCGCTCGCTCACGCTTATCGCCACGCTAGAGGAGCGACCACTTCCGGCCAAACAAGACTTCGATATACGTAAGCGACTAATATTTGTCTTCCATACGTGTCTCAAAGAAAGCTATGCTGTTTGCCGTGAACGTGTCGAGGGCTGTTTATTTTGCCTTAATGTGTAAGATGTGAATAAGGTCAGCTCTTGCGAAGAACGACCAAAACCACTTAAAAGTGCCTTCATCGCTCATTTTTCGCCTTGTATTTTGGAACCAATATTCTTCCCAGAAACCATGTATAAAAGATGCCATTTTTTACTGCGAGCAAAGTACAAGAAAACGGAACGGCTGCGAGCAAAGAAAAAGAGCAATTTACCCCCTAAAATTGTTCTATGCGCGTGTCTACTCTACTTTGAAGCGTTTTACTCCAAATGGGGAAAGACAGTTACGCACAGTGTCATAACTGTGTAACCCAAGAAATCTTGCATGGTCTCTCAAGCGTACCGCAGATGCACTAGATCTATAGCGGAGCGCCGTTGAACTGCATAAAGAAAAATGTACAGAAGCAAGTTATCGTGATTCAGCTTTTCCCTTCAATTAAGAAAACTATAAAGCCATATAATGAGATCAGTAATTTTAGTAATGATATATATATATAGATGCTGCCGGGGCCGAGATGCGCTCCGATAACAAACCGAAACTTAAAAACCCGTTGAATTTATGCGGTTTTTCAGAAAGCGGTAAAATGCTTCGCGTGCCTTCTATCGTTTTGCAATTTTTTTATTTAGTGGTTTTCGACGATGCTGAGCAATTTTCAAGTTTAAACCATGCCCTTAAACACAATAATAAAAACGTTAGACGAAAATAATTAACAAGTTAATTATCTCGCACTTTAATAATTTTCTTAAATGGGCCCCTGGCCCAGGACCACAATGCTGCAAGCCTTTTTTCGTTGCAATGAGTAGTTTTCGCAGGAGCGATTTGGCCCGCGTTCTCTGAAACACCCTCTCTCTCTCTCTCTCTCTCTCTCTCTCTCTCTCTATATATATATATATATATATATATATATATATATATATATATATATATATATATGGGTAATATCATCTCAAATCGTGCAGGCAAAAAGAGTCGAATTTTTAATTTCGCTGACAATATATATGTTATGGCGTCGTCTCTAAGAACGCTGTAGCCGCAAACCGCAAGCTCGTCGTTTTTTTTTTTTTTTGTTCTCGACTTAAAAATTTTAAAAGAAGCCGCGGCGGAAAGCAGCGTTTTTCACACCCGTCTTGGGTCGGATGTTTCGCTCGATCTCCCGCCGTGGATTTTCAGTCCACATTATATTAAATTTTTTCAAAGACTCTGTGAGCAAAGGTAAAAAAAAGGCTTTAATACCATAAAATATTTTAGGCGTTTTGCTTTTTTTCTTGAAAATGTCAAAATCGCCCCCCCGGTTAATTTTTCACGAACTTTGACAATTAAATACTGGCGATCTACTTGGGTTACGTCAATATCTTTTATGTCTATGGAGAGCTCAAAACACGCTCTTTATATATTTTATAAAATCACTGAGTTGTATAAAATGTCCTTTGCGGTACCTTTACGTTAATTTTATGCTAAACCCCAAAAGTATAAATTTTGAAATTGATTTTCTCAAAAACCTTACGTTTTTTTTTGCTAAAATGTAGATATGACAGGTATCTACTCGAAAAGTAAGTCGAGAAAGTGTGTATTTTGTTTGTATGTTCTATATTTAAGCCTCAATTTCGGAAAAAAGACGTCTTCGTTTTCCAAGACCTACGTCAGACATAGCGACCTGTGCGTTTCTACGAATTGTGAAAAAAGTTTTCTTGAATTTTCGTCTGCGTTTTGTAATCAGTTATAAACTCAATTTGTGGTATTGAATAGTTATTTATGTTTTGATAAGAGCGGGAAACCACTAGCGACATATCCAATTAAATCAGCACGCCTAGTAGACC